ACTCACTTTATTTTTGAGTTGAGTCTTGATTCACCTATCTACTAGGCTTTGAATTTCATGGGTAAATGTTTTGTTTTAAGTGCATACAAGCATGATTCCGCCTTTAATTGTTAATTGCATGCTATTGATGTTGCTTAAATGAACATGTTTTTCACAAATTTTCCTTCAGTATATATCTAGTTACATTGCTTAGGTACTAAGCTATTACAAGACTCACAAGATCTTGACACTTGTCATAATCTCTACTCACATATCCTAAACAATCTTAACTACCTCACGCATATAATATCTAACAGAATGAAGCCCGCGCCACACCAAAAGTAATATTGTTAATAGCCTTCCTCGGATCCCTCAAGTAAATGTTGATGGAGCTACGACTACTTTGTGTACTCGTTATGGCTGACTCAAGAGCGACTCAAGCAAGCTCTTCCTAATTGGATGTTGATCATGATCAAGAATTTTGCATTCTTAAAATTCAAGTCTTTAGTAAAACAAAAGAATCTTGGAAGATTATCGAATTATTTTGGATTGTCTAAAAAAAGGTCTTAAAACAAGGTGATATTTTAAGATAAGGAAAAATTAGGTTCCTATCCTTATTTTTCTACTCCATTGACTAAAACCTTATTCTTTTTCAAATTTTGATCAAGGTCCTTCAGTTTTCATAACGCCATTAATTATTCAAAAACAAAATATTTACATGTCAAGATAATTAAGTTTTATTTTTAAATATATTCATTTAGTGTTAGAAACGTTACATTTGATATATTATATTTATGGCTAAACTTTTTATCATACATTTCTATTTCTAGTTTGTACCCATTTTTAATATGCAATCATTTTTTAAGTTGTACCAATTTTGTTTTAAATTTTAATTTGTACCCATATATTAATTTCTTTTTGTCCCTTATTTTTTAAACTTTTTATTTGTACTCATAATTTTTTTAACCTTTTATTTGTACCCATAATTTATTTATAACGTACCCTTTTTTTTAACAAATGTATCACTTTGTTATATGTAAAATGTATCCCTATTTTTTTTGTAAGTACCATTTTTTATGTAAAATGTACCCATTTTTTAATGTAAAATCTCTTTATTTTTAATATGAAATGGACCCATTGTTTTCTATAAAAATGTACCCATGTTTTTATGTAAATGTACCAATTTTTTATATATAAAATGTAGCCAAATTTTATTATATAAATGTACTCATTTTATAAAAATAAAATCCCTTTTTTTTATAATCCAAAATGCACCCATAAGAAATTATTATTATTATTATTATTATTTTTTATCAAAACCCATAAGCAATTTTGAATAAATAAATTGGTAGTGTAAATGAAAGCAAAAAAAAAAAAAAAAAGGTTGAGACTTATTGGTATTATTGCATCTCTTTTATTATTATGTCATTTATGAGCGGAGAGGGACTTCAATCAAAAATCTAAAATGCATAAGGTTAGAGATCAGGGACAACAACTAAAATATTCCTTAAGATAAATATGGGTCTCCAATAGTAATTCTTCTCCTAATGTATGTTTGAAGAGGTTTCAAGTTTAAATCTCCCTAACCCTTTGATAAAGAAAACATAGTTGTAGGAATCGAATGGTGCAATGAAACATCTCAGAAGCTGTATTCGAACTATGATAACGATGATGTCAAGTTTCAATTAAAATACATGTAGCATAATTTGTTTTTCATATAAGTCAATGCATAGTAAAGTGAAGGTAATATAAGAAATTGAAATTAAATAACACAAAAGAGATTGTAAACGGTCGTAATTCGTTGTAAATATCAGTTTTTTTTTCCTTTCTTATTTTCATTATTCATTCATTTTTTTTCATTTTTTTATTTACATAGTAATCATAGATACATTCTTTTTGTATATAAGTATGTTAAAATTGTAATACATTGTTCGCGTTCCTTTTCCTCGATTATAGTATGTTAAAATTGTAATACATTGTTCACGTTCCTTTTCCTCGATATTTAGTATGTTAAAATTGTAATACATTGTTCGGGTTCCTTTTCATTGATATTTCACAACTGAGAAGTAACAAGGAACGCAACGTCCTTGTATAACATAACCAGAAAATTCATAGTAGATATTGAATTAAGAAGCTCAACTTCAACAGAGGTCAATGCTTTTTTACTATGTACAAGGTCGTATTAGGCCTCTGTGAGGATATCAGAGACCAATTTGTCACTGTCGTTGATCCCTTGCCTTTAAAAAATGAAATTACCTAACACAAAATCCTACACATCTACACATTGCTTTAGCTCTGGAGCTATTAACACTGTTGTTCGTGGTGTTGAGCGTATTTAACAAAAAAAAAAAAAAAAAAAAAAGCTTTGCTTTGGGTTGCATTTGATAGTGCTAAGTTAACGATGGCTATATCAAGATTTTTGAATATGTTGATCGAGTTGGAATATCATTCCAGAGAGCTCGCATTTCTAATGGTTGTAGCCGAATTGGTTTTGAGTTTGTTGCAAACACTCATAACTAATTGAGACGCTACTTCTAACTAATTAAGGAGCTCTTGCATTTGCAAATAGTGTTAGAGACGACGAGAGAGATAAGAGCAAGAAAGCAATGAACACTGCATAACCGATTGAGGAATCAAGATGTGTGTTTTTAAATGCAAACTAAAGAGATTATAAATTATTTGATTGGGGTGACTAATTAATTAGTGAATAGAATATGATATACATAAGCAATCCAATAAGGGTATAGCTCTGAATTTAGAAGCATAATTTTCTGTAGCTTTTGTTTTTGGTTTTTCTCTTATGTATTAAACCCTTGCATGGAATTAGCTTTAACCTATTATTCTAGTTCATTATGTTTGAACTAAAACACAATAAAAGCTGGATATCATGGTTTCTAGAAATTTAATACTACAATATAATTGGACATCAGGATTTCTGGAAATTTAAACTCTCTAAAACTCAACACACTTTCATCATTACAAACATCGCTGATCGCAATTTTGACTTTAAATTTGGTCGTCACATGATCCTCGTAATTTGTCTTCTTTTTTATTCTATTTGAATGAAGTAGTAATGGAGCCAGAAATTGAGGCTAAAAGAGGTCTCTAGACCATATGAAAGAAATTTAACTAAATATAATATAGGGGGCTTTTTACATATTATACATACGATCAGAGAAAATTGTTAAGTTTTGTGTAGGAATCAAATATTTTAATCAAGGGAGAGGAACAAAGATACGGAATATTAAAATAATTATATTATAAGCACCTAATTTGTTTACAAGTTTTGCTAAAAAAATATTAATGACCACGGTTCAAAACTGCAATTGTGAGATTTTTCTTTCAAGATAAATTCTTTAAACAACACTATACATGCAAATGATGAATTAACTACATGGTACTCAACCAAAAGTACACAAAGTACTGAAGCTAAATCTAACAGATCAAGCAAAAACATACAAATCAAAGAAACTGCACGAGAGGCCTAGGCCGATCCTGGTCCTCATGTGGTTTGAATAAAGTTGAGGTTCCACCATAAAATTAATTGGCAATATAAGGAGTAGCGTAACCTACTTATAAGCTCATATAAGATCCCTTCTCCCATCAATTTAGAATTCATTCTCAACATGTCCCTAACGTGTGGCAAATTTTGAAGCCAAACAATGGGAGAACACAAACAAGATGACGTGGAGCACATGTGGCTTTGGGCTTCACACATGGAACAATTTGCTCTGACACCATAAAGAAAATTGAGGCTTCATCATAAAACAAATTGACAGCATAGAGAATAGCCTAACTTACTAATAAACCCATGGAAGATCCAGTCTCCCATAAATATAGGATTCATTCTTAACATGGCTCCGACACTATATTTGAACATAGTTGAGAGAGCTTATACCAAGTTTATCGAGTTCCTCCACAAGTTACAAGAAGGCATCAAGGGAGTTTTGAGGCAAGTGGTGTGAGAGAAATTAAGAAGGCATCAAAGGAGCTTTGGGCTAGATTCCTTGGATTTTTCTCATGTGGTAGGATTTTAACTCGTCAACTAAATTACCGTGTACTCATCTCATAAGATTGAAATTGGGTCAAAAGTTACAATTTTTTTTTTTTTGGTCAAAAGAGTAAAATTTATTAAAGACGAATAGAAACATTTACATCCATCGCAAGGGTATTAAACAAGAATTCTGGACCAAAAACATCCCAAAAAAAAAAGCCCCCATGCAATGTAGTAAATGCAACAACAATGTGAAATTCTCAAACTTTTCTCAAAAGTTTCGTCTCTTGTCCTAGTTTGTCTTCATCCACGTTTTAAGTTGAAGAAAATCCATACACAGTAGATCAATTTGAAAAAGGAATTGATTTGACAAAGACACCCCCCCCCCAATCCCACACCACCCCCCACACCCCCCAACCCCAACCCCACCCCAAACACCCCCCCCCCCCCCCAACCAAAATCATATTCTTGGTGTATGATCGAGTCTAATGGATCTCTACTCAATATCCATGTTTATGAATATACTTCGTAAAAAGTGGGAGAAACTCTTATCACTAAAACCTTGGAGTTTGACAGCTTAAGAAATTCAGTCGTCCATAGTTGACAACTCAACCAAGAAAAGCAACAGTTGATTGTGTTTATATGAATCTAAATCGAGAAGATTTGAGGAAATTGAGAGAAGAATGGAAGAAGAAATTTAGAAGATCCAGCTGCTTTTTCAACACCACATTTGACGCACCAATCATGTTCTTGGTCCCAAGACCGTTGAAATGGTCAAAATGCCATGGCAGGCTAAGAATGTCCTCCGTACCCACCCACAAAATGACAGGTAAAATAATAACCATGTTTACAAACTCAAGCAGTAACAATAAATTGGCAATCATGTGACACGTGGCTATTTCACTGCCATTGAATTTCCACATTTTGATGCTACAATATCGCACAAAAAATGCATGGTTGCATTGAAAGGTGTAAAAACTTGAGTTTTGAGCAACAAGAAGACAATAGGGATCGAGAGAGGAGAAGAACAAAGAAAACAAAAGAAAAAAAATAACAAAAAGAGGAGAAGAGAGGGAAGTCTTCTCTTCTTTTCTTAATTATTATCAAATAATCTTTTCTTTTCCTCGATCTTTTTAACACTGCAAATAAGGTTCTTTTGATTAGTAACACCTGCTGCTAGGTGTGTATATATAGAAAAATATCTATAATATCCATGGCTTCAAGCAAATTTAGAAGAGCCTTGGATGCGGTGAAGGACCAAACCAGCATAGGCCTCGCTAAAGTCGGTAGCAGCACCTCTTTGGCGGACCTAGATGTTGCCATTGTGAAAGCAACAACGCATGAAGAATACCCGACCGAGGAGAAATACCTACGAGAAATTCTCAGCCTAACATGCTACTCGCGTGCCTTCATCAGCGCTTGTGTCAACACCATCTCCCGGCGCCTCAACAAGACCAAAAACTGGATCGTGGCTCTCAAGACCCTCATGTTAGTCCAACGACTGCTGTCCGAGGGTGACCCTGCTTATGAACAAGAAATATTTTTCTCCACAAGGCGCGGCACTCGCTTTCTCAACATGTCTGATTTTCGTGACACCTCACGCTCCAATTCTTGGGACCATTCTGCGTTTGTGCGCACGTATGCATTGTATCTAGACGAACGGCTTGAGTTCCGAATGCAAAGCCGGCGTGGGAAACGCAGTGCATTTGGGTTTGATGAAGATATTGAGGATCATCAGGAGGCGGCTAATAATTTTACCAACCAGCAGTCATGTCAGAGAGCCACACCGGTGCATGAAATGAAAGCTGACAAGTTGTTTTCTAGGATGCAGCATTTGCAGCAGCTCCTTGAGCGATTTTTAGGATGTCGCCCAACAGGTTCGATCAGTTCAATCTTTCTTCGCCCAACACTAACAGGCTGCATGCAATATTTCAGCCCTGCATGCATGGCCATGTATGCACGACAAATATATTTCAAAATTTTCATTCTATTGTATTATTTCTCCAAGGAAATCATGTCACATTATGTGATCAACTAATTAAAAACGTGCACGTTTATTTTAGAAGAGAAAATATTATTTTTATATCATATTCGAATCTACAGTGTGTGTGTGTGTGTGTGTGTGTGTGTGGGGTACATTGTTGATATTTGGCCGACCTTTTGTTGATACTTCGTCAATATTTGTTCAGTTGGCAAAATATCGGCCATATATGTGTCGAAGACATTGTAAATTGTTATGAGATATCAGCCAATCACTCTCTATTCGAGAATTACAGAGTCTTTTTTTTTTTTTTTTTTTTTTTTTTTTGTATTTTGCTGTTTCTTCTTTTATTTTTTGCAGAGCAATATTAAATAGGGGAGCCTTTCTTAACAATTTTTGTTTTTCTATGCGCATGATTTTTAATTACAGGTGTAGCAAAGAACAACAGGGTTGTAATAGTGGCCTTGCACGCGATAGTAAAAGAGAGTTTCCAGATATATTATGACATAACAGAAATAATGGGCATCTTAATCGACCGCTTCATGGAGCTGGAGATCCCTGACTGTGCCAAGGTGTACGAGATCTTCTGCCGCATCGGAAAGCAATTTGATGAGTTGGACACGTTCTACAGGTGGTGTAAACAAATCGGCATTGCGCGCTCCTCAGAGTACCCGGAGGTTGAGAAGATTACACCCAAGAAGCTCGAGGTGATGGACGACTACATACGTGACAAGTCGGCTTTGGCACAAGGCAAGAGGTCGGTAAAGGGACTACTAGACCGACAAAAGATTAATGAGGCAAACAAAGATGAAGAATCAAATCATGGCGAAGAAGAAGAAGAAGAAGAAGAAGACATGAACGCCATGAAGGCCCTGCCACCGCCAGAGGGTTTCGTTGAGGAAAGCAATAACAAGGAGATGGAACCAGTAAAGGAAGAGGAAATTAAGAAACCGCAACAAGAAGAAGGCGATCTGTTGAACTTGGGAGAAGATGCTTTGTCGAGCAATGAACATGCTGACAAATTGGCGTTGGCTTTGTTCAACGGCGCCACTGAACAAGCACCAGCAGGTCAACTGGCATGGGAAGCGTTTGCTGACGAAGCTGATTGGGAAACGGCGTTAGTCCAGTCCGCAAGCCACTTGTCGAATCAGAAGGCTTCCCTCGGGGGTGGTTTTGACTTGCTGTTGCTGGACGGAATGTACCAGCAAGCGGAGATATCAGCCGCGATGGCAGGCCCAGGGTATGGAGTTAGTGGCAGTGCGAGTAGTGTTGCATTAGGGTCAGCAGGACGGCCTGCAATGCTAGCATTGCCTGCACCACCAACATCATCGTCTTCGTCAAATCATCCTAGTAAGTCAAATGTACATGTAGACCCTTTTGCTGCTTCGTTAGTGGTACCGCCGCCATCATATGTGCAAATGTCAGACCTGGAGAAGAAGCAGAAGCTGTTGATGGACGAGCAGTTCATGTGGCAGCAGTATGCAAGGAGTGGGATGCAAGGGCAGGTTGGATTGACAAAGCTACAGCATAACCCTCATCACAACATAAACATGGGAGGTTACACACACACCTACTAATCATCAATTAATTAACACTTAATTATAAACAGACTACGTCAGCTTCAGTGTTAATGATCATTAGGGGTTGCATGTGTATTAACTTGAACATATTGTTTAATATTTTCCTCTTAATTGTCTAGGTGAGGTTCAATTTAGTAGCATGTATTCGGTACATATCGCCAATCTATGAAAGGTACATATGCATGTAGCTAACCCCCTTGGCAACCATTTTCTTGAATCAGACTAGAATCATTGTGTTGCTCTCCTTTTCTTTTTCATTCCTTTTTCTTTTCCCCCCCTAAAAAAAGGTAGTCATTGTTGTTGCTTGGAACCCAAGAATTTCCACATGGTTTCTTCCGAGTCGTTTAAATTAAGAGAAATAATTTACATAAAACAGGTTCATCGCTACTGTGATATTTTGATTCTAAAGTGGGTACTATGCCAATGGAGGATATAACAAGGAAGGATGCTAAAGTTACTTCATATAATAGGCCCACACCCCCAACGAGTGGGTAGCAAATCACCTTAAAAAGCACAAAATAGAATTACTTCATATAATTAATCGAAGAAGTACCGATATTGCCGACTTTGAGATGAACCGGTGCCCTGCTCAGAACACAAACAACCAAATTGGGCAATAATCTACTTCCCACAACCTTCCAACTACTTTAAAATGCTAGATGATATACATGATTTTGCTCCATAAAGGTAAAAAAATTTAGTCCCAGAAACCTCAATGTTTCTTCAATGCTAAGTACCAGTTAGTGGTACAAAAAATAAATAGATGAGATTGACCACCGGCTAAGTATTATCGGCTAACCATCATTCTGATTAATCTGTAAACGTTTAAAAATTAAGAAATGGCATTTAGACCTACCTAGAAGCTTGCCTAGCCCACTAAACTCGTCTAAGCACCCGCCTAGGTCGCAACTCTCACTTAAATAGAAAGTAGATAACATTCATTTTACATTTTATTTTTACATTAAATAGTAAGAAACCTATTGAATACTTTGATGAACACTCATTGTATGTTTGCTCCCCATATTTTTAATATGTTCTAATACTTTTTAATTTATAATCATTCTATTTTGCAATTTATGTATCATAATAGAAAACATTTATTTTTATGTTACATAATAAATTCAATTAAAACTTAAAAAGGGCCTAGACCCCCACTTGGCTCCATCTAGACACCTAGACGCTCGTACCACGCCCGACTAGCACCTTTTAGATCGTTGAATCTAACAAATGTGATCTAACAACTAAAACACATGTAGCACTAATGCAACCAAGCATTGAAGTCGGACTCCACTTTTTTAGCGTGAAAACCTAATGATATTCAAATGACAAACAATTAAAATCGACATTAAAACTAGCTTATAAAACCCCATAAGATCTATTTAAACCGCCAAGATTATCTTGATTAAGAACAGGCTAGAACTAATGATGAAAACATCATATCGAAATGGGGCTACAGAATTTATAGTTTTTGGCAAGTAATTCCAAATACAAGGGATATGAAGGGTCAAAACAATTTGTAAAAGCAACTATTAGGAATACAGTTTGTTTATAGGGCAGAGGTCCCAAAAATAATCCTCCTACAAATTCAACTCAATAAAAATCTCCTATCAAAGAGGGGATGGAACCTCCTGTGGCATAATAGAGCTCCATTCAGCTGTATATAACTCTGCATTGCCCATTTGCCAAAAATGTCGAATCGCAGTCCGGCGTTGAGCTTGTACTCGCTCAAAGTTGTTTCTTCTTCTCGAGACTGGAAGCAGCAATCCGTTGTCGCTTCTTCCAGGCTGGAATCTTGCCCGGGAATGCCCACCGTAAAAATTTCTCCCACGAGTAGCAGGTCACAAACATGAGAAGAGCCCACAACAGTAACTTGTTTCTCAATCCCACTGGCAACGGCACCAGTCTAAGCCAGTCATTCAAGTCCCTGAATAGATCAGATGTGATAACTGTGAAGAAACCAGCCGCAGCCACGATGGCATACAAGAATGGCTTGTTTTCTGTGACGCTCTGATTGAACGGATGCCCCATGTAGTTCACAGCAAAGGTGGCCACCTGTAGCATCATGCTCACCATGTACGAGACTGTATTTACAAGGTTGGGATGAAAATCAGAGTCTGGTTCAATGCACTCGTCCGGCATGTATCTCTCAGCCTCGTTCACAGAAGATATCAAGAAAAATAAGTGGATTGCAAACTGTCCCAACAGAGAAAGAAAGACATAGGAGCAGAAGACATTCGGATGAGGCCGTTCAGCTGAAAGGGTTGGAAGAGGGCGCGCATGTGAGATGAATAGGAAAAAGGCAGCTGTAAACACACCGCTAATAGTAGCCTGCACATCACCCAGCTTGACACCATCCAAGTACATAACACTCAGCACATAAGCTGTCGCGAGGCAGTTGAGGCCTAGTATTTTAAACATCTGGAGGGTAGTCACCAGAGTACTGCGACCTTGACGAATTATGTCAGTGGTTGGAGCAACTGATGCATGCTTCGCTGTGAATGGTGATGCCATGGAAGCATCCCCAAGCTTTACAATTGGAGCTGAGCGACCATCCCCCTCCTCATTCATCTCATCCATTAGTCTCTTTTGCAATGAAGCTAGCTTCTGCCGTTTCAACTCGGCAGCCGACAGATTCCTGTTACCAGCTGAGTTGCTATTGGGATCCAATTTTGCGGTGGCTTTTCCCTTTGAAGAGACTTCTCTATTTACACTAGTAGATTTACCTGCAACATCCAATGCAGACTTGGACTTCTTTGGATCTTTAGACGTTTCACTGGGCGGCTTTCCACTCTGAGTTGGCGGCACCGCATTCAATAGAGCAACTCCCACATGGGCCTGAGAGGAGAGAAACATACCACACTTTATTAGTTCACAGCTTAATCATGAAAAAGCCATACACATGATTCGAGCTATCATTTGACTTTCTTATATTAAATCCATAAAAAAAATAATAAGAAAACACAAGAGTACTAATAAATATCTGAAAAGCTATTAAGGGAAAAAGTGAGACAATTAATCTGTGATTCTGTAGAAGCCCGTATGTGTGACTGTCGATGTGTGTGTCCCATATATGTGTGTGTGTGTGTGTGTGTGTGTGTCAACGTGTGTAAGCGAGTACGCTATGGGGAGTAAAACATATTGCTACCCCTCGAACTTTATTTATTCTTTTGTAGCATGAAACCATGATAACTAACTTCAAAGTTAGAATGGCAGCCCCACAGTTCTGGAATGAATACAAAGGACACACCCTGAAGACATGTCTGGTGCCCAGAATTTAACTGGATTGTAACGGATTAGATTGGATTGCACTAGATTGGATAGGACAACTTTAATTTTTATTTTAAGGATATGATAATTTTTTATAACATGCGTTATTTTAGTAATTGTTCTTCCTAGGAATTAGGATAGTTTTAGTAGCACTTAAGTTCATGGACCCAGGTCCCTGGTCTTGGGTTCATGGTCACGAGGTTGGAGTGGTAGGAATAATTATCATACAAGAACGAAACTGATGGGATTGGTTTTTATCCAATCCCTATTATTTTTTAGTACCAAACATAGGATTGAAATAAACTAATCCAATTCTACTATCGTTAATTGCCATTACGTCAATAACTGACTTTTAATACTTACACTAAGGATTTATTATTTCAAATAAGCCAATTGCCTTGCAAAGAAAAAAATAACTCAACTAATAGTTGAATATTCACAAAACAAATTACCTGCTTCAACGCTCCAACGTCATTGGTTCCATCCCCACACATCAACGTTATCCTCCCCACTGTTTTGAAGGTAGTCAAAATCAGCTCCTTCTGCTCAGGAGCAACTCTCGCATAAACCTAATAAGATGACTCCGGTCAAAAACGTTAAGATAAAGCCACTAATAAAAAACAAGTTTCACAATTAATACTTAATTGGTTATTAATAAGCACCTTGACGTATGGAATGACTCGTATAACAGCTGAGGTTTGTAGCAACATTTCAAAGCAGTCACCACCAATACAGAGATCATGAGTCTCAGACAAAGCTTCCACCTCGTTTTCACTGAAATCAATTTCATCAATTCCATTCAGAACAAAGGAGAAAGAAATAAGGAGGAGAATCAGCAAAAAGAGTGCAGAAGGGAAACAAATTCACAAGAACATAAATAAAAACCAAAAACAAGAGGAACTCCCAATTATTGAACCACTTTAGTAGGTTTTACAGCCAAGCAAAACATCAAGAGTACCGAACCAAATTGAAAACAGCCAATCCATTAAACAGGAAAAGCTTTACTTGTAAGGAATCATCTGAGTCTCATCAGGAGATATCCACTCATATCCTTCACCGTCCCTCTTTGGACCAAGAATTAATGCTGATTTTGAAATAATATGAACTTGGCTAGCAACATGGCAAGCTGTAAGAGCCTGATCACCAGTAATCATCACCTAACAAAAGAAACACTTTGGATAAATATATATATACTAAAATTTTAAATCTTCCTACGCAGCAGCTTTGTTAAAAACAAAATGAATGAGAATGATTGTACCATACAAAGGAAGACAAGAAAAACAGGGGAAACAAAAAATAAACTACATTAAATCTGTAAACAATCAGGACAACTCAAAAGAAAGCAGTTGGTAGAATATCCTGACAAAGACATGCAAGAATGGTTCCGTGTAAAATGGTCATAATGGCCCTCATACAGCAAAAACATTGTTTGAGCTTATCAAATGAAAGAAGATATGCGAGAGTGTTCCAACAGTAATACATGATTTCAACTAATCAAATGAAAGTATTTAAAATTACACCAAACTCCAATCTAGATGTCCATAGTGCTGATACAGAGATAAGAAAAAACAATCAACACCCCAAAAGCAAGCAGTTGGTCGAATATCCTTACGAAGATATGCAAGAGTGGTTTTCTGTAAAAGGGTCATAATGGCCCTTGTACAGTAAAACGTGGTTTGAATTTATCAAAAAAGGGAGCATTTAAGAATAGCTACAGCGAAACTATAATTTAGAAGTCCATAGTGCTGATAATTCTACAGCTATCACCATGTAAAGGCTCTTACAATCTGCAATATTTCTTCATCATAATAGTTCCTGGAAATGCAACATGACCATGATAGTCTTACAAACTTGCTTCTAAATGTTTATGGCCAAAAATAACTATAAAAATGAAAATGATTTCTTCACCTCAATAAAAGGCTACCAAACGTAGTTTCTTTTTCTCTAGAATATACTTCTTAAGTGATGGTAGTTAAGGGTAAGATACAAGATACTATTCCTTTATACAAAATTACAGATAGACCACATACTATGTAAGTCAGGGAAACCACATACCAAATCATGCGACGATCGTTTAAGCTCAGATAAAATAGCAGCTGAATCTGATCTAATAGGACAGTTAAAAACCTGAAATTCAAACGACGAGAATTTAGTGACGTGAAGGAAGTAAACAAAGCCTACTCCAGACACTACTCTAATCTTCAAATCAAGATAAATGGGACAAAAATAAATATATAAAATAAATAAAAATAAAATATAAAAAAAACAGAAACAGTACGAAAACTATTACTCTGTATGAGGAAATAATAGAAATGATTAATTTACCGCAAAACCAGCAAAGGTAAGGCCACTCTCCACCACATCCCTATCCAAGCTTCTGGCTTCGCTAACCTTCAAGCAATAAGAAGATAATTAAACACTTCAAATACATATACAATATAAAAGACGAAGCCTTTAAAACTTCCTCAGAGAGAGATAAGGGGCAAACAATGTGAAACTCTTCAAGTACAAGAAGTGTCATTGAATTTAAATCCAGTTACTCAGATATTATACATATGTACTTAACAATAATGTAAAGTAGAAAAGTAAAGACGTAGCCTTTGGTTAATTCGTGTTTCTACTTGAGATCATCATGCATGTCAAATTACAAAAGCAATTCTATATTCTATAATTTAAACCATTTTCTCCTTAAGGTTAAATTTCTAAAGTACAAAAAATGAAGAAAAATACTAATTGTAGTCTGTCCTTCACTTGATGATACGCCAAATGAAGTTTGCTTGAAATTTAACATGCACTATGAAGAAGATCAAAGCATTAAATCCAGAAGTTGGATTGGGCTAAGGAAGAAAAAGAGTGTCCTGAAAATTCATTAGTTATGATTAATAGCTTCAAGAAATAAGTTTATTATTAAAAAAACAAATTCTTATCTCATCTGTAATCCAACCAGTCTGATGCATAAACTCAAAAGTAAAACTTTTTTTTTTTTTTTTTTTTTTTTTACATTTTGAGTACTGTACTCAGTGCAATGGCTCTCAAAAGTCTTCCCTTTTCCAGTCCAATTTAAAATCATCTAGTACCGCATAACATGGTATGACCAGTGTGTACACAAGTTGCTTCCTTTGAACATGAACCACCAGGACCTATACTATTCAAAGCAATTGAGAAATAACAAATCCAGAGAACTTACTGTCATGTCAGGAAGAGATTTGTAGGCAAGGGCCAGAACGCGAGACCCTTGTCGAGTAAATTTCTTGTAAGTTTCGACATAAAATGATGGCACTTGAGTGAGTCTACCCTGAATGGTTTCAGGGGCACCCTGAAATGAAAAGAATTTATTGTTAACAGCTATTAATACTGGAGTGAACATCTTTCCTACTGCAAAGATATAGAAAAAGGAGTAATTAGATTGTAATATATTACATAAGACGTAGAACCACTGAAATGAGAAAAAAATGGGAACTGTACAAAACAATGAAGCAGGAGTCTGAAGGAAACAGGACTGAAAAATATATATCAAATAGACAACCAAAAAAAGCAACACTAAGGACAGGCTAAAACCACCAAAGGAGCCTAAGAAACTACTTTCCAAGTTCACATTCAACAGGAAAGGACGGTCACCATACTCATTAGAGACTGAGGCTCGCAGATCTTCCACCCACACCCCTCCATAATCTTCAAAAGTTTGATTGTTACTCTGCATCAAAACAACTTATATTGCAGACAACAGCAACCCCAAAAGAACCTTGGGCTTCTTCCCACACTCAAAACCCATATTATTTCACTTGATAATCACAACATTTGGGATTACCAGGTCGAAATTGCTTCCCAAGATAGTTTTAGCCACAAACTTAAAAGCTAGAAGACAGTGGAGAACAGAGTTACCATTTCCCCCTTTCCCTATACTTAACGCCAACACATTTGTGTCCTCTTCTGTGTCAAATAACCAGTATTGAGCTCTATAAGTGCAGAAATCCAAGTCAACACCTGACTACGAGGATAGATGTAACAAAATATGACAAGAATAAAAATCATACAATTGATTGTGAAGTAACAAGATTGATGAATTAAGATAAATGATACCCTGTCCCAGAACACAAACAAGCAAATTGAGCAGCAATCAAGAACTCTATGATGGCGATCTTAATGCTTATGGTATATGGATAACATAGATTGCAACGTAGTACTGATGAATGACTGACGAACCTTCACAAAAGCAAAAAAATTCTCTTCAATGCGCACTACAACTGCCATTCTTTTCAAGTAGGAAGCAAAGTGATGTCTCTGAACAATCAGCACAGCATGACCACTTCCCCTGCGTTTTAGTGACGAGTACAATAAGAACAATGTAGAAAGAATTACCAATCATAAATATAGACAAAAGCACAGGATTTACTGCCTCATAAAAGAAGAATGAACATTAACCATAATCAAACTTTAGATTAACAAATTATTGATCACCTATTTATAAGACCACTAATATGTCGGCCCATTTATATTTGAAATAGCAAATATATATCATAGCAACATCAGACTGCATATTCACTAGACCAACCTTGTAAATCTAATTTATCCACAATATCTCATACTGTAATTGGCTTAAGGATAAACATAGCTTAACGTTCTTTTTGTCCAAAAAATTCGACTAAAACATCAGTGCAAAAGACGAAAACAAGCCTTCCATAAGAAACTAACTGGCTTAAGGATAACTGATTGGATTGGACATTCTAACAAAAATAAGATATTATACCAATGGAAAATTCATACCAAGATGGATCCCGGATTGTACTTTAATCTATGTCCTGCTGAAGGTTTCTTTGGTTAAACAATTTTCTGAAGGATTACCTCACTTTTCAATCTACTTAAAACGTTAACATTGCATTAAATTCAACTTTCCAAAATAATCTATCATCAACAGAGTCAGGATAACTGTTTAACAACTACCCTATGAGGAAAATATGAGCAAAAAAAAGGTTAAAAAGTAAATATGAAAATAAATGATTAAAGGATATTATGGATTAGTCCAGAAGTGCAAATATAACTGCTGACATATAGATATAGACAAAAACAAGAGATTGCAGCTTACTTTTTTGGCAAGGCCTTCTCATCAGATTTGAACGTCCAATCTATTCCTTTAAGGGCAGCCTTTTCAAGAGGATCACCAACCTACATGGAGTTGTGTAGTATCAGTTAATTTCCAAACAAAATTTAAAAAATAATACCACCTGTCACCAGACATTGATAGTACATATAACAGGATACTGAGCCGTTTCATTACTACGGATAAATTTATCTTCACCGAAGCATCTCTTGTTCCATCTTTCAGTCAATGCAGCCATTAATTTTCTATTCAGGATAAATTGATATTGAGTTCCAACTGACTTGAAAGTTATAAGTCCAGTTAAATAAATACGGCGTTTTCAAGAAATTTAAATTCATGCATGGGGTAGGAAAACCAACTTAAAGGAGACTGGATGACCCGGTTGGCAAAACAAAGACAAAATTTCAAAAGGGCATATATTTTGAGATATAATATGTTTGAATAACTCCAGAAACACAAACCCAAAACAAAAAAGGGAAAGGCCTAGATCCCTTTTTATCATTCCTTTTTGTTCACATCAAAAACTAACTGATGCAGTAGAGAAAATCTAGGAAAGGCATTATAGCCAAAAAAAAATTATAAGAAACAGACTTCAATTAAAATATATAAAAATAAATTAGGAAAAAGGGTGCAGGAGATCCATAACAGACCAAGAACCCTGAAACAAGGAAGAAAAACACGACATACTTTTCTAACCGACCATTCATTATCAAACTACAAAAAGACTTGATGAAGCTCCTTTATTTTTGCAAGTTCTAAGCAGCAAACATTTCATTATGATTGCAAAGAAGCAGACATCTAATGGTTGTAGATAGGTAGAATTTTGTGTGATTTTACCTTTCTGATTCGCATACCTTTGACAATATAAGCAATCTAAAACTAAAGAGCTTGCATCGTCAACAATGATACTGCAACCAACATAACTAAATAAAATAGAATGCAGCCTAAAACAGACTGCCTGTTTAGAAGATAACACTAGCATACCAGCTTATTATCCACAAACACCAAGGCATGGCAAGACGCCAAAATCTCTGCTGTGCGCACAGGCACGTTACTCATGTCAGCTTCTAAATCTGTACTGCTAGTTGACCCAACAACTCCACAGAATTCCTGGAGAAGAGCAAGAGAAAAGCATTAAATTTTATATGAATCCGAGTCAATTTAATGAGCACCATATACTAGATTAATATGAAATACCATATCGTCTGATGTAAGTGTTCCAGTTTTGTCAAAACAGCAGATATCAACCTGCACGGAAAACAGTAAACAAATGTATCAAAATATACTTTGTACAGCACAATAAGACTCTGCAGTATGTCATATTGGGAAACAGCTTGGTCAGTACAAGGCTACAAGCAAACAGCGAAAATAAGGTATCGAAGAAGTATGGTCAATGCGTAACCGAACAGAAAAGTATGGGGATGACTACTAATTCTAAAGATACAATCACATTATGCAATTCTCTAGGACACATTTCCTGCTTGAAAAGAAGGAAGACAGACGTGAGAACGCTGCATGCCTAAGTAGCCAAATCTTGCATTTGGTTTGCACACTAGAGAAATGAAGTCATCATGAATAAAGCAACTCTATCCAGTTTTATGGTATTAGATGGGTAAAAACTCCTGCTTCATTGTCCCATTGCTTTTGTCCTTGGGGCAGACTGTTTAGGGAGAGAACATGTGAGCTGGGAAATTCCAGTTTCATGCAATGCCTTATTGTGTGAGTTACAAACTCATTGGAGGGATAAAGAGGGTCCCCCGCACTGAGTGGCAATTTTCAGGGTGGTGTAGTCGGAAATGAATGGGATGGGGAGGTTGATCACTTTGGATGTCAGTATTCTCTGCAGAGTCAATAGATAGTTTGGGCTGCTTTTAATGACTGGAGTGCTTCTGTGTTATAAACTATTACTTTATGAAGCATCATTGTAAAATAAGACCATCTTTATTAGTTGTAGATCAGATAGCTAGATAGCTCCGTGGATGGTATTTTTGAAAAAAGCGGCATTATCCAAAGAGCATCCTTTAAACAAGTGTAAGAAAGAAATATATAAAATATATAAAAAAAAAAAAAAAAAAGACATAATTAAAGCTGTCACAACATACCTTTCCAGCAAAAGGAATTCGGAAAGGTTCGGTACAAAATATTCCGCGACGTGCAAGAGCAATTAGAGATGTATTAACAGCTATAGATAATTCCATTGGCAGCTCAGGAGGAATCACAGAAGTAATAATGAGTGAACAACTAAGGAAAAGCTTGTACTTGCTCCTAGTGGGATCCTCAAGCCCCTACATCAAAGACGTCTTGATTGTCAGAAAATAACACTACACAAGCATCAAGCATCGCATCTACCTATCAAGGAACCACTTTTACCTTCTTTAGTACATAACCAGCAGCTATCACTGCAAATATGACCAAGAACAAAATGAACAACCCACTTTCCCAGCTGTTAGCTGTAACCTACAGTAAAATGTATGTACACACATTATATAAAATAAAAGTGGAGTAAAAGTAAAACCATAATGTATATAGGTTGAGTAGTCATAGCAAAAATACCCTCTCTGTAGAAAACAAAATTGTACGCATAAGTTTCCCCTGACTTGTTTCAAACCCAGTCCTCAGAACAACAGCCACACAGCCACCATCGGGGGTTTTTAAAGGAAAGCCCTGACTCCATTGAGATAATGAAAACATAAATACACAACCCATGAGATTATCAAACATTAATGATATTCGCTAAAAACCATTAATGATAATGTTTGTTGACTTAAACATATATTTTAGGATAAGCTACCTTATCCGGAGTATGCTGCAATATCTTAGTCCCACCAAATAAGACATGGCTTTTATCTCGCTTAGCTGATAATTTCTCCTCAGTTCCTCGGGCCATGATCGATACCTGAAAAATAATCCTACTATTATTTTCCTCCAGCAAAGACACAACGTTTATCATCAAACAACAGTGCACAATAAGCCATAAGTGCCAATCACAAACTTGCTTTGAAGAATAGCCCCATCGTCCAAGTGCAAAAGGAAAATGGATATAAATTTTCAGTATTTTGCGCTAACTTTTCTGGATAAAATACACCAAGAGGATAGCAGACATGTATTAGGTTTCCTTGGTTTGGATAGCACTCATCCCTCCCTATGAGCAATTATCCAAGAAAGACCCTGTACCTTACAAGGTACTGTGGGGAAAAATGATATAGATAAATAAATAAAAAAAGAGACAGCTCAACCAATTAAGGGAAGAGTATAATGAATCCTTTACATAATGTTTTCAGTTTTTTTGCTTTGTTTAGATAGTGGACTTTTTGTCCACGGCCAAACTAATTTTCTCATTTTTACATCAAAAAAATTAAAAAAAAAATCCATTAGTTAAAATAAGCAAATACAGAAATAGTACACAAGAAGTTCATAGCATAAAAACAAAAGTACAGCCAAATATACGTCAAAAAAAAAAAAAAGAACATGGCACTATGAAACAGCCTAAAATCAACCCACTTCTTCTCCCCCATCAAAAGACCCGAATCGTCCCATAAACTCTAGCCCCAAATAAACTGCAGGAAGTTGAGGTTCCAAACTAAAACCAATTGGTAATTGGGTGAGTGACCCAACTCCTTATAAGCCCTTGCAAGGTTATTTTCTTTACTTTCTGCTGTGAAACAATTCCTCACACCCTCATGTGTGGAAAAATTTAGCCTAACATATTGACAATTCAACTAAGTGACATGGAGCACGTGTGGCCATTAAGCTTCACACATGGGTGAACCTACTCTAACACCATAAAGAAAAGTTGAGGTTCCACCCCGAAACCAATTGCCAATGGGGAAATGCCCCAACTCCTTATAAACATTTACAAAGTTTCTTAACTTTCCTATGCGGGACGATTCAACACAACCTAACAATTACCACCATAAAAATCAGAAAGTATTCTGCTACACCAAATTTCCTCCAATATAGGGTTTAAGATCACAGAGAATTTAAAACCCATATTTTCGACGGTGAATGAAGTTTCATCCAGTTCAGGATCAGTTTACTATTGAGTCACAGCTTCCTCGTATTGTCCCTCTTTTTTTTTCTTCCTTTACTCTCACCTACTTTTACTTCTATTTGCAGTCTTAGCTCTAAGTTCCTTGTCCAACTGAGTCCAAGAATGATTCATCATCGCTACTATGATATTTTGATTCTAAAGTGGGTACTATGCCAATGGAGGATATAACAAGGAAGGATGCTAAAGTTACTTCATATAATAGGCCCACGCCCCCAACGAGTGGGTAGCAAATCACCTTAAAAAGCACAAAATAGAATTACTTCATATAATTAATCGAAGAAGTACCGATATTGCCGACTTTGAGATGAACCGGTGCCCTGCTCAGAACACAAACAACCAAATTGGGCAATAATCTACTTCCCACAACCTTCCAACTACTTTAAAATGCTAGATGATATACATGATTTTGCTCCATAAAGGTAAAAAAATTTAGTCCCAGAAACCTCAATGTTTCTTCAATGCTAAGTACCAGTTAGTGGTACAAAAAATAAATAGATGAGATTGACCACCGGCTAAGTATTATCGGCTAACCATCATTCTGATTAATCTGTAAACGTTTAAAAATTAAGAAATGGCATTTAGACCTACCTAGAAGCTTGCCTAGCCCACTAAACTCGTCTAAGCACCCGCCTAGGTCGCAACTCTCATTTAAATAAAAAGTAGATAACATTCAGTTTACATTTTATTTTTACATTAAATAGTAAGAAACCTATTGAATACTTTGATGAACACTCATTGTATGTTTGCTCCCCATATTTTTAATATGTTCTAATACTTTTTAATTTATAATCATTCTATTTTGCAATTTATGTATCACAATAGAAAACATTTATTTTTATGTTACATAATAAATTCAATTAAAACTTAAAAAGGGCCTAGACCCCCACTTGGCTCCATCTAGACACCTAGACGCTCGTACCACGCCCGACTAGCACCTTTTAGATCGTTGAATCTAACAAATGTGATCTAACAACTAAAACACACGTAGCACTAATGCAACCAAGCATTGAAGTCGGACTCCACTTTTTTAGCGTGAAAACCTAATGATATTCAAATGACAAACAATTAAAATCGACATTAAAACTAGCTTATCAAACCCCATAAGATCTATTTAAACCGCCAAGATTATCTTGATTAAGAACAGGCTAGAACTAATGATGAAAACATCATATCGAAATGGGGCTACAGAATTTATAGTTTTTGGCAAGTAATTCCAAATACAAGGGATATGAAGGGTCAAAACAATTTGTAAAAGCAACTATTAGGAATACAGTTTGTTTATAGGGCAGAGGTCCCAAAAATAATCCTCCTACAAATTCAACTCAATAAAAATCTCCTATCAAAGAGGGGATGGAACCTCCTGTGGCATAATAGAACTCCATTCTGCTGTATATAACTCTGCATTGCCCATTTGCCAAAAATGTCGAATCACAGTCCGGCGTTCAGCTTGTACTCGCTCAAAGTTGTTTCTTCTTCTCGAGACTGGAAGCAGCAATCCGTTGTCGCTTCTTCCAGGCTGGAATCTTGCCTGGGAATGCCCACCGTAAAAATTTCTCCCACGAGTAGCAGGTCACAAACATGAGAAGAGCCCACAACAGTAACTTGTTTCTCAATCCCACTGGCAACGGCACCAGTCTAAGCCAGTCATTCAAGTCCCTGAATAGATCAGATGTGATAACTGTGAAGAAACCAGCTGCAGCCACGATGGCATACAAGAATGGCTTGTTTTCTGTGACGCTCTGATTGAACGGATGCCCCATGTAGTTCACAGCAAAGGTGGCCACCTGTAGCATCATGCTTACCATGTACGAGACTGTATTTACAAGGTTGGGATGAAAATCAGAGTCTGGTTCAATGCACTCGTCCGGCATGTATCTCTCAGCCTCGTTCACAGAAGATATCAAGAAAAATAAGTGGATTGCAAACTGTCCCAACAGAGAAAGAAAGACATAGGAGCAGAAGACATTCGGATGAGGCCGTTCAGCTGAAAGGGTTGGAAGAGGGCGCGCATGTGAGATGAATAGGAAAAAGGCAGCTGTAAACACACCGCTAATAGTAGCCTGCACATCACCCAGCTTGACACCATCCAAGTACATAACACTCAGCACATAAGCTGTCGCGAGGCAGTTGAGGCCTAGTATTTTAAACATCTGGAGGGTAGTCACCAGAGTACTGCGACCTTGACGAATTATGTCAGTGGTCGGAGCAACTGATGCATGCTTCGCTGTGAATGGTGATGCCATGGAAGCATCCCCAAGCTTTACAATTGGAGCTGAGCGACCATCCCCCTCCTCATTCATCTCATCCATTAGTCTCTTTTGCAATGAAGCTAGCTTCTGCCGTTTCAACTCGGCAGCCGACAGATTCCTGTTACCAGCTGAGTTGCTATTGGGATCCAATTTTGCGGTGGCTTTTCCCTTTGAAGAGACTTCTCTATTTACACTAGTAGATTTACCTGCAACATCCAATGCAGACTTGGACTTCTTTGGATCTTTAGACGTTTCACTGGGCGGCTTTCCACTCTGAGTTGGCGGCACCGCATTCAATAGAGCAACTCCCACATGGGCCTGAGAGGAGAGAAACATACCACACTTTATTAGTTCACAGCTTAATCATGAAAAAGCCATACACATGATTCGAGCTATCATTTGACTTTCTTATATTAAATCCATAAAAAAAATAATAAGAAAACACAAGAGTACTAATAAATATCTGAAAAGCTATTAAGGGAAAAAGTGAGACAATTAATCTGTGATTCTGTAGAAGCCCGTATGTGTGACTGTCGATGTGTGTGTCCCATATATGTGTGTGTGTGTGTGTGTGTGTGTGTGTGTGTGTCAACGTGTGTAAGCGAGTACGCTATGGGGAGTAAAACATATTGCTACCCCTCGAACTTTATTTATTCTTTTGTAGCATGAAACCATGATAACTAACTTCAAAGTTAGAATGGCAGCCCCACAGTTCTGGAATGAATACAAAGGACACACCCTGAAGACATGTCTGGTGCCCAGAATTTAACTGGATTGTAACGGATTAGATTGGATTGCACTAGATTGGATAGGACAACTTTAATTTTTATTTTAAGGATATGATAATTTTTTATAACATGCGTTATTTTAGTAATTGTTCTTCCTAGGAATTAGGATAGTTTTAGTAGCACTTAAGTTCATGGACCCAGGTCCCTGGTCTTGGGTTCATGGTCACGAGGTTGGAGTGGTAGGAATAATTATCATACAAGAACGAAACTGATGGGATTGGTTTTTATCCAATCCCTATTATTTTTTAGTACCAAACATAGGATTGAAATAAACTAATCCAATTCTACTATCGTTAATTGCCATTACGTCAATAACTGACTTTTAATACTTACACTAAGGATTTATTATTTCAAATAAGCCAATTGCCTTGCAAAGAAAAAAATAACTCAACTAATAGTTGAATATTCACAAAACAAATTACCTGCTTCAACGCTCCAACGTCATTGGTTCCATCCCCACACATCAACGTTATCCTCCCCACTGTTTTGAAGGTAGTCAAAATCAGCTCCTTCTGCTCAGGAGCAACTCTCGCATAAACCTAATAAGATGACTCCGGTCAAAAACGTTAAGATAAAGCCACTAATAAAAAACAAGTTTCACAATTAATACTTAATTGGTTATTAATAAGCACCTTGACGTATGGAATGACTCGTATAACAGCTGAGGTTTGTAGCAACATTTCAAAGCAGTCACCACCAATACAGAGATCATGAGTCTCAGACAAAGCTTCCACCTCGTTTTCACTGAAATCAATTTCATCAATTCCATTCAGAACAAAGGAGAAAGAAATAAGGAGGAGAATCAGCAAAAAGAGTGCAGAAGGGAAACAAATTCACAAGAACATAACTAAAAACCAAAAACGAGAGGAACTCCCAATTATTGAACCACTTTAGTAGGTTTTACAGCCAAGCAAAACATCAAGAGTACCGAACCAAATTGAAAACAGCCAATCCATTGAACAAGAAAAGCTTTACTTGTAAGGAATCATCTGAGTCTCATCAGGAGATATCCACTCATATCCTTCACCGTCCCTCTTTGGACCAAGAATTAATGCTGATTTTGAAATAATATGAACTTGGCTAGCAACATGGCAAGCTGTAAGAGCCTGATCACCAGTAATCATCACCTAACAAAAGAAAAACTTTGGATAAATATATATATACTAAAATTTTAAATCTTCCTACGCAGCAGCTTTGTTAAAAACAAAATGAATGAGAATGATTGTACCATACAAAGGAAGACAAGAAAAACAGGGGAAACAAAAAATAAACTACACTAAATCTGTAAACAATCAGGACAACTCAAAAGAAAGCAGTTGGTAGAATATCCTGACAAAGACATGCAAGAATGGTTCCGTGTAAAATGGTCATAATGGCCCTCATACAGCAAAAACATTGTTTGAGCTTATCAAATGAAAGAAGATATGCGAGAGTGTTCCAACAGTAATACATGATTTCAACTAATCAAATGAAAGTATTTAAAATTACACCAAACTCCAATCTAGATGTCCATAGTGCTGATACAGAGATAAGAAAAAACAATCAACACCCCAAAAGCAAGCAGTTGGTCGAATATCCTTACGAAGATATGCAAGAGTGGTTTTCTGTAAAAGGGTCATAATGGCCCTTGTACGGTAAAACGTGGTTTGAATTTATCAAAAAAGGGAGCATTTAAGAATAGCTACGCGAAACTATAATTTAGAAGTCCATAGTGCTGATAATTCTACAGCTATCACCATGTAAAGGCTCTTACAATCTGCAATATTTCTTCATCATAATAGTTCCTGGAAATGCAACATGACCATGATAGTCTTACAAACTTGCTTCTAAATGTTTATGGCCAAAAATAACTATAAAAATGAAAATGATTTCTTCACCTCAATAAAAGGCTACCAAACGTAGTTTCTTTTTCTCTAGAATATACTTCTTAAGTGATGGTAGTTAAGGGTAAGATACAAGATACTATTCCTTTATACAAAATTACAGATAGACCACATACTATGTAAGTCAGGGAAACCACATACCAAATCATGCGACGATCGTTTAAGCTCAGATAAAATAGCAGCTGAATCTGATC